GCCTGTCTTTTGTTTGGCTGGAAGCCACAGGTGTGGGTTCAATTCCAGACCTGAAGGGCAGCTAGGGGCCATAATTCTCAGGGGTTCCACCAAACTCTATCAGGCTAGCAAACCTGGTCCCCCCCCCCCTCTTTTTTTTTTTTTCCCAAATGATTTTGAGTTTTGTTGCACATAGTTCCCCCTCTCTATCCAGGATCTCCTGCGTAGATCCCCCTCTGATTGGTTGACAGTGGTAGCCGGGCACTATCTAGTTCTTCTGGTATCATAGTCGTATATACTGCATATCATGTGGTGTACCAGTTGCTGGAACTAATTGTTTCCATGAATCTTTGGTTTTCTTCATTCTTCTTTGCTCTGGATGAGGAGCGACCCATCTTTGCATCTAGATGGCTGCTTGCAAGCTTTTAAGATCCCAGTTGCTGCTCGCCAGAGTAGGAGGTGGAACAATGTTTTGTGTACTATGTTTTTTTTTTTTTAATGCACCTCTTGTCTTTTTAATGGCTGCACCTCTTTTCACCAAGCGGGTGTGGGGTATAAGAGTAACAAGGGGCATGTCGCAGCTTTCTAGTAGTCCGTGCAGCCAGGATGTGTCTTTGCGGTTCCCAGCAAGAGGAGCCTGTTCTTAAGTCCCTAATAACCTGGGAGAATGCTGTCACTTCTCCAAGCCGCTTGTAAACATTCAAAATGGCTGTGCCCTCTGGACAGGCAAAAGTCTACAGCTCAGCCCACCCTCCTCTTGAATTGGCAACTGTGGGACAGGAGATGGGGATGGGCCTAGGGTAGAGCTTGCAAGCCCCCAGGGCTGTCCTCTAGGCACCTGATCCTTCTTGGCGGGCCGTGGAACACCACCCTCGAGGACCTGTTTGCCCAGTGACATGGACACTTGAGAGCAGTCCCCGTGAAGGCTTAGGGTGTCCATCTCGCTGGTGAGCAGGGTATGGGAGGTGGGACCAAATGCCCAGGAAGAAGGTCCCCCCTATCCCCGGATGCTCTGTGGAGACACTTAGGGCCTAACGTCCGTTCTGTACAGCCCAGCCTGTACTCTGAGGCAAGAGGGGACTGAGACGCAGTTGCTGTCCCATCGAAGGCTGGGGCTTCCTGGTGCCCTGAGCTGTTTGCTCAAGGGGTTGGATGGTGTCCTGCCTTGAAATCACTGGGGTCAGGGAGGCCAGGCCAGCCCCCTTGGGTGCCTCTGAGGGCCAGGCTCTGACCTCACGCTGGATGGCTCTAGGTCCACCCCAACCCCTGACCCCACAGGGGAAACCGCCTTCAGCTGTGTCTGCCCCATGCCCACGTGTACTTCCCGCACACCTCACCCCAGAGGCGCCGCTTCCAGGGACCGTCCATTCGTGTCCTCCGTGCAATCCCTGGGTAGTAGGGCTGATTTTTAGGTTAATTCTTAGGTCCTACCACCATTCGGCTGGGAGCTCTGGTAGCATAGTGCCTAAGGCACTTGACTGCTAACCAGAAGGCTGGCGGTTCAAACCCACCAGCCACTCCTGGGAAGGAAGATGGGGCAA